ATAGTAAAAAGGAGAGGAAAGGAATTAACAGCGTTGAGTTTTTATTTTTTATTTTTGAATAGTCACAACCATGCTTATCAACCTTCCCTGCTCACAAATCATATGTAATATATTCTTCATGAAGTAAAATTCTCTTTTTTAAATTTAAAATTAATCATAGTCCTAACAATCAATGCTACAACATCAGGTGAAGAACCATGGGATTCCAGAAATGAAGATCAACAACATGCTGGACACGGCAAGAGAGTTCTTCCACTTGCCGGATGAAGAAAGGTTGAAATTTCGCTCTACTGACCCGAACAGTGTCATCAGGCTGGTCACAGGCTTTGAAGATAGGACCCGGAACATCTTTGTCTCGAGGCAATCCTTGAAATTCCACTCGCATCCCGTTGAAGAATACAAGAGCCAATGGCCTTCAAATCCTCCTCCTTTCAGGTAAACAAGCTCTGACATCAATACAGTTATCTAGACCTAATTTTCTTTATTTAAAATTGTGCTGTATTCATTAATTTACAATATAATTTTTGACAGGGAAAATGTTGGAGAATATTGCGCAAGTGTGAGAGAGGTGGAGGTAGCAATACTCGAGGCCATATCAGAGAGCTTGGGCCTGGAAAGGGATTACATAGACAAGATATTAAAAGGACATTATGTGTCCATTAATTACTATCCAGCTTGTCGGGAATCAGAACTTGATGTTACTTATGGAGTTCGGACTCACACTGATCCAACTATAATCACTATTCTGATGCAAGATGATGTGCCTGGACTTCAGGTTATTAACGATGACAAGTGGATAAATGTTAATCCTCTTCCAAACGCCGTTGTTGTTCATGTTGGAGATATCCTGCAGGTGATCAATTAACAAATCCATCTATATAGTAACATAAAAACTTTCTTGAACGATATATAACTTATCTTTAACTGGTTAGGAAAAACATAAATTTATGGATTGATTCAGAAATGACTAGTTTTTCTTTCTTTTATTTGTTTCCAGGCACTTAGTAACTACAGATACAAGAGTTTGCTTCATCAAGCTATTGTGAACTGTGAGAAAGAGCGTGTATCCATTGCCAGTTATTGCTATCCATCGGATGATGCTATGATAGGACCGGCTAAGAAGTTGGTAGACAGGGATCATCCAGCAATCTATAAAGATTTCACTTACAGAGAATTCCACGAATCCATGTGGCGAGTAAAGTGTTCAACAGCTAAGCGATTAGACTTGTTCAAGGCTCGTGCTGATTAACTCCATTTTCTGCACCGCTCCTGCTGTTGGGATGCTCGAGACATATAGTAGCTTTACTCAATAAGAATTTCCAGCAGTTTTGCTGAACTATGACTTACAATAAATTTTATAAATGGCAGCTAAGATCTTTCTTCTTGATTGTTGAAAGTACTTTTACAGTGTTTATTATACATAAAAGCAGATATATAAAAATTCATTGGTGGAAGCAAGTTTATCGAAAAACTTTATGGTGCACTGTGTAATGTTTTATTAATTACTTTCATGAATTTATTTTAAAAAAATAAATAAATGTATGAAGAAAAGGAAAAATCAAATCCAAGACCCCAAAAAAATTATAATAATCTTTCACTTATTTCTATATTATAATATTAAATTTATATTTTTTAGGTAGAATAATTTAAAAATAATAGTAGGGGTGATTATTTTTTGTTCGGTTTGGTTTTTATTAAAAAAAATGACAACCGGTTCAAACCGTCCTGTTTGAGTTCAGTTTGGTTTTTTAGGACAAAAACCGATTCAAACCTGTTTGACTCGGTTTTTTCTGTTTGGCTCGGTTTGACTATATTTTAGCTCGGTTTTTTTTGCTGTTTGGCTTTGTTTTTTTTATTTTGTCTTGATTTTTCTAGTTTGGCTAGGTTTTTTTCAGGTTTTTTTGTTTCAATTTGGTTTTTTCAATTTCAGACTTATAAAACCGAAACTGAAACTAACCGGTCTATTTTTTTTTTTAATTTTAATCAGTTTTTTTATTTGATTTTTTTATTATTTTTTTTAGTTTTCTCAATTTATTCAGTTTTTTGATTTTTTACTCACCTCTAAGTAAAAGTAAAAACATGAGATTTAATTGACAAATCTCGAAAACTACTTCTAGAAATTCACGAAGAATATAACAAGGTTGTTTCTAGTGTTATTAAATCAATAATCAGGGATTGTTTTGATTTCTCGAATCACAACATCTCTCAACATTCCAAAAGAATCCTTCAATATTAATCCAAAGGCTTTTTATCTTCTTGAGTATGGGTACTGTTCAGATTATTATTTTTCGGCTCATAAAAGCTGTCTTTTCTTATTTTTTTCTCCTGGCATGCTGTATGTTTGAAAAAGACACTCTCTCTTGGCATCTCGTGAGGGCAAAGCTAAAAACTTACATCGCATGCTCTGATGCTAGTGGATGGTGAGGCTTTCGGCGAAGGAGACATAAAGGCACGTCGAGGAAGTCAGTAAATATATTGTGTGGTGGGGTAAAGTGCTCTCTCATGCTTAATACGCCACACAAACACACGTTATAAAAGAAAGCATGGTGGACCTGCAGGACATGGACACGAAGCTTCTTTTTTTTCTTTTTTCTTTTTTCTGAAACGTGTTTTAAACCCAAAATTAAAAAAATTATTTGTTTATCACAACCAGGCCAAGTATAAAATAATAAATATATCAATTACATAAAAAAATTACAAGAAAATAAAAATCAAGAAATTTTATATTTATCACCACTAGAGGACTCACTATAGTAAAAGAATTGGAAAGGATTTTAATTATACCATTTATACCGTGAAAGGGTTTTTTTTTTATTATGTTTATAAATAATTATCAGTTAGTTCTTGATTTCCTATGTCCCCCCCCCCCTCTTTACATAGAAGTGTCGGTATGCTGTCTTCATTAATATGATGTCGACATGGCACCGTACCCATAATGTTTTGGCGTGTAGTGACTCTGTTAAACTTTTTATTATAGTTATAAATCTCAATCTAGAATTAATCTGATTAAGGAATTGGATTTCAGCTTTTTATGATGAATTCGAGTACACCTAAATAAATTAAAAAATATATATTTAAGATTTTTTTATTTTTAAATAATAAAAAATTGGATAAAATTTTTTATCTTACAGATAGACCTAATAACACTACACACACACACACATATATATATATATGCGCGCGCTCCAACAAGTTATATTGTAGCTAATTAATCTTTCAAACACTTGTTTAAAAATCATTACATACCTTTTTATTAGATGATTTTAGTTAAATTTATCTTTCTATAATAAATTTCGCAAAATCAACTCTTGAATTTTCGATTTTAGGATTAAAAAAATCACTATGTTCATTAATTATGTTGATTTGACTAAAATCTGTTAGGCATCTGATTAAATAACCTTTTTTCATGCGGAATAAAATTGAGGGGGGAAAAAGAATTTAAATGTTCATCATAAAAAGTAAAAAAGACTTAAATAATGAAATAAATGCTCAAGCCCCACCATAAAAAAAAAAAAAAAACAAACACAAAAACTCTAAAATAAATATTGAGGTAAAATTCGAAATTCAAACCCTAACCTAACTTAAAATTCCCAAGTGAAGCGCTAATTGAAACTCGCCTCCACTGAAATTCACATAAACACGCGCCAACAAATTATCTTCGCCTCCACTAAAAATGACATAAACTCGCACTTTCTCAACCTCCACGCTCTTGCATCTACCTCGTTGAAAAACCAAACCTCCA